TGTTTACAAACTTAAATTCATATTCTCATAAGAACTCTAAAAAACACTAATTTCGAACACTGGTACAAATAATCTTAGCCAATCAAAACTAGGGGAGAAATTAATAAAATCCATAGTAATAAAATTTTAAAATTTCTCGTGAAGTTACACAAACTGATGTCCGCGAATCCTTGATTGGCTGGTTCCATTTTAGGAATTTGTATTACTCGTAGCAAAATCAAGACGTTGGTGTAACATACAAGCACGAAGCATCCTTCGAGCTTGATGTAAATTTGTCCAATTTCTGCGCTTTGCTAACAATGGTTATTCGTCATCAGGTAGCACTTCCTCCAAACTATCCTTATACTCCAATATCTCAGCATGTTTATCTCATGGAACCCGCTAAAGAATATCAATTTGAGCTAGATCCATTTCAGAAAGCGGCAATCGCGTCGATTGAAAGATCTGAATCAGTTTTGGTCAGTGCTCATACTTCAGCTGGCAAGACTGCAGTAGCCGAATACGCGATTGCTCTAGCATTGAAAAATAAACAGAGAGTAATCTATACAAGTCCGATCAAGGTATGCATAAATAAAGTTCTCGCAGTATTCAATACACAATTTAACTTTTTCTTTAATTAGGCTCTAAGCAATCAAAAATATAGAGAATTGGAATCGGCTTTTAGTGACGTGGGTTTATTAACGGGTGATGTGACTATAAATCCAAACGCGAGCTGTTTAGTAATGACAACTGAGGTTTGTAGGTGGGCAACTTTTAAATTCATTCGAATAAAGCGATACTTGTCAAACTTTATCAAAAAATTCTTAGATTTTACTCGCAATGCTTTATCGTGGTAATGATGTTATCATGCGAGAGGTTTCATGGGTTGTCTTTGATGAAATTCATTATATGCGAGATAAAGGTATGTGCAACCTGAATCTGTTATATTTGTTATATTGTAAAAAATCCAATCTTAACCTTTATTTACAAATCAGTAAGAGGTGTAGTTTGGGAAGAAGTTCTAATATTATTACCTCATCAAGTACATTTTGTTTTCTTGTCTGCAACAATTCCTAATGCAATGGAATTTGCTGAATGGATATGCAAGATACATGCTCAGGTTGACATAAAGTTTTTTATGTATTAAAGATGTAATTTTATGTAATTTTAATTCACTCCCTTCATATTCTTTCGTAGCCATGTCACGTTGTATATACTGACTTTCGTCCCACACCCTTACAACATTATATTTATCCTTGTGGAGGTGATGGCATATATATGGTGGTTGACGAAAACGGTGTATTCAAAGAAGATAATTTTTTACAAGCAACTCAATCATTATTACCAGATCAAGATATTGAATACAAATCTTTTAAGGGTAAAAAAACAACTGTAATTGATAAATCAACCAAAGGTAAATGTTGACTTTAAATCTATTCACATATACCTATGGTTTTGTCAGTAAATTTTAATTATTTGTGCTTTATAATTCTAGGTCCCTCAGATATTATTAAAATCATAAATATGATTATGCAAAGGAATTATCAGCCT